CAATTCAACACACTAAATAATGTATTCATTAAAAAAATATTTTTTTAGTATAAAGTTAAAAAAAATAAACTTAAACATACAACTATACATATAAAATACAAAAATAGACTAAATTAGTTGTACTTGTATTATATTTTAATAGTTGAACTAGATAAATGTTGAAAAATGTGTGGAACTGAGAGCATACCAATCATTTTTCTAAAACTAATTAAGAATAATAAAATTTGTTTTCAGGTAAAGCATAGTATGAAATCTGTATAAAACATTCTCAAACAAAACCTAAGAATGTGACTAAAAATTTATACATTAGTGGAGCTAGAATTTAATAGGCCTAATATGACGGAGTCAAATTTGTAAATCTTGATCAAACTTACACTTAAAATACTTTATTATTATGGTAAAATTGAAAAAGATGAGAGTGATTGTAAACTTGATTAAACTCAATATAAATGAACAGTGCTATGTGCATTTGGGAGAGATGTGTTTGTTACCAATAGCCTTTCAATAACTTAAGCAGCCATGTGTTTGTTACTAGTAGCCTTTCAATAATATAAAAGTTAACAAGGCAATCCCAAAAATGTGATCCATGATAAATTTTTTGTGGCCAACATGGATGAACTAGCCATCTGTTCTTTCCAAGTAGTCATTCAATAATTTAAGCAGCTAAAGTGCCCAATATTTTAACTGAACCTGCAGCCTCACTCTGTTAGCTTTATTTAAATAATTAATCACAAATTAGATTCTAAAACACTAAATCACTCAAATCATGAACTATAGTATGTGAAATCAATAGATACATACCTGAGTCTCTATAGTGCATAATTTATATATTATCTAAAAATAGAATTATCATGGTTCAAAATATCATATAAAATCTATAAATTAAATAAAACAAATATAATTAGTATTAAGATTTAGATTTTTTTTTTCTTTATTTAACTTTTGTATAGTGACAATTGATAAAGCATGACAATTTTTAACTTCATTACTTGTAAAGTTAGGGTTTTTTAAATATGAAAGCGGACTAATTTATTATAATTATCTTTTGAGCCCCCATCAAGTAATGATCCTTTAATTAAAAATGATACATTTATTCATATGATGTCATATAAAATTAAGATAAAATTTAAATCCATTCGAATCACAAAATTTATATAAAAGTGTTGATAATATTTTAAGGGTTTATTTGGTACAACGGTTAAATTTTAGTGGCTAATGGCTATCAGATAGTGAAAAGTGGATGGTGGATACTGGATAACGAATTCATTTAATATAACTATTTAGTTATACAATAATT